AATAAATTGTTTTGGAAATGTTGATGGCAACATATGTACAAGTGTGCTTAATACTACTGAATGATGGATTGTTATAAGATTTGTAAGAGCCCCCCCCAATAAAATGAATAATAATAATTTCTAAAAGAGTGAAAAGAATTCTGATCACCTCAATGAATTTGTTCTTAGAAGAAATAAACCACTTACTACTACAATGATTTTGGTTCTATTTTTAATTTGGTACAATGCCTTACCTTTTATGTGTATGTGTATTGGGTGTGTGTGTAAGATTTCTTCTCCTCCATTTTCAACTTCTCAAATTACACCTACCGTCCATGCTATGGTTAGGGGATTTTCTCCATCATCTTGTTTTTGTGGTTAGCATGAACTGATCATGTTTAGGGAAGCCAATACACAGAATAAAATTACATTATTAAACACAATGTCCATTACAATGTTAAATTGGATTTGGGGTTTATGAACTACACATTATATCTCTTTAAGTGAAAAGAAATGCAATTTATACTAAGAATATAAGGTAACATTTTGTTTTCAAAAGCACTGAATTTTTCTTATATATAAATATTTTGTATAAACATTCCCTTTGAAAACTGCTGCGCTTTTATTAATCTCTCTTGATGTCACAGTATAGCTAAGTGAAAATAAAGAATTTTGAACATAATCATTTCTCAACATCTTTTTCTAATTTACAGGAAAATCTAAATAAGAAATGATAGAAAGTAGGAAATAACACAAATAGTGTTGGTACTTTCTTTAGACACTACATACAAACTGGACATTTTAAAGTGAAATGTTCAACTTTACCATCAGTAACTTCCAGATATGCTTTTGTGATGATACTTCCAGCAACATTCAATGTCTGGCAGATATAATAACCCACATCAGATCGCTGGACACTAGTAATAGTGAGGTCACCAGTCTGGGAGACAGAAAACCGGCTGGATGATTGTGGTGGCTGATATGAGAAAAGCAGATTCTAGAAACCAGATTTTGGGAGAGAAGAGTACAAAAGTTAATTTCTAGGTTTCAAAATTGTGGCTATATATTCTCATGCATCCATAAATATACACATATACCCAGATACAGATAAGCTACAAATTAACACATACCCACATATTGTTGTACATACATATACACACACATACACACACACACACACACACACATATAGCAGGCTTAATGACCTAATTCATACATTACTATCATTGTTTGAGTCACTTGAAAATTTAAATAAATTCTAAATATTGTTATGTGTTTTTATAGTTACTGGTAGTCAGTCACTAATATAGAAGGATATAAATATCACTAGAGTACGATGTTTTATGTTTAACCAAATCAAAGACAAAGGCATTACTTCACAAACATATAAATATACCCAACTGTTAAAATTATAAACATTAATATCTTTAATATATAAACTAAAATTTTAAAACATTCTTACACAATATAATTATATATTATCTTGGCCCCATAACAAGTATCTCCAGCAGCTGTCCAGTACGAACCTCCAGTCATTTGTACCACAGGGTTAAGGCCTAGAGTACCTAACTGCTACTACGTCAGGATTTTCATCGATCACACACCCAATTCTCGTTCCAGTATTTAATTTGCTGTCATTGAATTTAAGAATTCACAATGGAATTTTATTTTTACAGACTGTTTTCTTAAATACAAGGGAAAAGAGAAGGCAATGTTGTTTTGTGCTACAAAATTCTCTATCAAAACAAAGTGCTTCTGGGTCAATTTAGAGGAAGTGTATATTTACTTACCTACAAAAGTGTAGCGTGTCATTGGTTAACATGCAATACAGAATATCCATTTTAATTTTCTCATTGAATAAAGTTTCCTTTTAAGACAAGTTTTACCTATTCCATTGAGTTTATTCTAATTCATAGAGTTTGAAGTCTCTATGGGAGCAGACAGCTTCATCTCTCTGTCTCACTGAGTGGTTCTGAACTGCTGATTCAGCCTTACCCGACAGAACCTTTTACCACACAGCATTGCATAAACGTGCATATATGACCAATGGCTACATATCCAATACCATGAAAGAAACTAAGTCAAAGTATAATAATTGTTTGAAAATGTGATCTTTAATTTAAATAACTTAAATGAGACGCTTAACCATAACTCTGTTCATAAGAACTACAGCCTTACTACCACAGCTACAGGATTTTCTTCTGTATCACTGACCCAATCCTACAGGCTCCATGTGAACACTGTGCTCTTTGTGGTATTTAATCGGCTATCCATCATTCAGCAAAGTTAGACCTTTGAGGCCAATGAACTGGATAAACGCTACTAAGACTCGAAATATGTATCCAAGTGATGCCCTCCACACCACAATCAAGTAAATATTATCGAACAATGTGAAAATAAAAGTAAACATGATAGTATGAGTTGTAGAGATTATTAATTAGTCAAGTAAAGTACCTGTCTATTATTTAAAAGAAGAGATCATTTGAAGCTAGAGCCTGAAACTAAGCAGCAAGGTTGATTTCAGCAAAAAATAAGCGAGGAATAATTGCATTAGAAAACAACGGGATAAAGAGAGTAGTACAGCAAACACTCTCTCTCTTTAAAGTAGCAAATGGTGCCCTGATGGCAGGCAGGGTTACTGAGGTGCCCAGCTGGCATGGTGCTCTCTACTTCTGCCAAGGTTTAAATCGTGGACGCCTACGGGGCAGTTCTACCCTATCCTCTAGGACAATGCCGCAAACCTGTAACACACTTCCTCATGCTGTGGTGACCCCCCCAACCATAACATTATTTTTATTGCTACTTCATAACTGTAATTTTGTTACTGTTATGAATCGGGCGACCCCTGTGAAAGGGTCGTTCGACCCCCCCCCCCCCAAGGGGTCATGGCCCACAGGTTGAGAACCGCTGCTCTAGGGTCACGGCAGTTTGGAATTGACTGAACTGCCCTTGTGATGGCTTGTTTTGCTTTCATTAGAAGAAAAAGTCAGGAAGAGGGACTAAGGAACATGATGAAATGATTAATTTCCTTTTAATGGTAAAACTGCACAAGAAAAAATGTGTTAACCAATGCCCAAGCTGAACTTAGTATGAGGAGTGTACTTGCACACACTAGAAAATGCTGGTTCATAAAGTCTTAGACCGTACAGTTTCACAGAAAATGATGATTGTATGTATGATAATTTCTAAAGCAGTAGAGCGTATTTAGCATGGAACCTCTATTGAAGAGAAATACTATACTGTTTGGTGATCCCGAGGAAACTTTAGAATCATGAAGGTTACAGAGAAACTGTGCTGAGTAATTATCATCTCTGTTTTCAATATGAATACATTTCTTTTAGCATGTAATTCCAGACCTGAGGAATAGAAGCGAAGAGTAATTCAACTGTGTTGCGAAAAGGGAATAATTTCATTTTTTTTAGCAGAATTGGAAGTAAAAGTAAAAATTACACAGTAAAAGAACTACTGGACCTACCACTAAAATGTGCTAAAACCTAATAGGACTCTTGCTTTGGGAGAATGCTACAGAATCTCATTCATTAAATGACCCTGTAGAATCAGGGTATCTGGGCGTTTCTGTCACAGTTGTATGACTATATAATACAAAGGTGCCTCACAATTGTCTGTGTTAAAACGGAATTAAAGATGATGGAATGTTTCAAAGACATTTTGGAAACCCACCTTCTTTCTCCTGTATCTGGGACCCATCTTCGTTGATTAAAAAAAGAGAAAAGGCCGTACCTGACTCCCCTCTCTCCTCCAAAAAATTGCTGGTTGTGGGTTTCCAGTTGCTTCGCACTGAAAAGTTACAGTTCGCCCCATGGCAACCACCTGGTCCCGGGGCTTGACCACAAAATGTGGAGGTTCTAAAGGAAAAGAAGCAAATTACATTCAGATTAAAAGCATCCGGTTATTATGCTAATTGAGACAACGTACTGCTACCCCAAAGGTTGTCTTTATTTTATACAACATGTTTGGCACTTGCATACATAATGTGCCAATTCTGATCCTGATTTTGACACTAACTGTTGAGTGCCTATTTCTAGAAGGGAACAGGGTGGTTTTATGAAGAGGCTTTTATTACTTGACCTTCAAAGATTAACCTCCATATTAGAAAGGATTCTTGAATTACAATCTGACCCTTTACATTCATAGTACACCTGAAATTGTATGAATATGGACTATCGTTTTCCATTTTAAGGGTGAATGGACTTTAATCATATACACAAGGACCCCCTGATGCAGACAGGTCCTAAAATTACTTTAATTTAACTCAAAAGCTCCTGAAATGCTACCATGCAAATTATAACCATTTACAATCTTCACTCCAATTACTTGAATAGAAATGAATTTAAAGCAATAGCAGAGTCGAATGCCTCCTTCATTTACATAGGCAAGGGCATGTTCAAACAGAATATATATGGAAATGAAGGCAAATTTGAAACATCTGCTCATCCTGACATTATAAATACTGCCAGCTTTGTCCAAACTGTTTGATTTATACAGACTTAAATGGCCACTTCATCCGGCAGTAAATAGAGTGTCAGAAAATTGTGTCAGTTACATTGAGAGCAATGGCAGCTGAACACGTTCGGTGTGCTGACAGAGGGACCCCAGGAAAAGAGGGCGGGGTGCTTGTTTTGGGGTTGCGCCTTGTGCTTGGAAAAACGTGTACTGAATGTAAGTCTTTTTACTTACTGTTTACACTTTTCAAATTCATTCCTTATCAGCTGTCTGAAGTACCTAATTATTCTTCTCTCCTGTCTCAGTTCAGATTGGAGCGAGCATTTCAAGGAAGATGTTGTAAGTTTTTTACAAGACAGGGTTATTCTAATCCACCTTTTTTTAAAGCTTTCCCATTATTTCTAACCTTTGCTTTAAAAGAATCTTTAGTTAGTGTGTCAGACACTGAGGAAATGCCTTAGGGTGAATATAAACCAAAATTTATTTTGAACTTATGCCTATAAATCGTAATTGCCACAACTCGGCTCACAAGGACAGAATTTCTTGGTTAATGCAGGTCAACACAAACTACTTGGAAGTATAATTTTCTCTTTCTTAAAATATCTATAGCTATATATAGATAGATATAATCCCACTGCCATGCAATCAATTTTGACTCACTAATATGATTTCTGAGACTGTAAATCTTGGCAGGAGCAGACAGCCTCATCTTTCTCCTGTGAAGAGGCTAATGGGTTTGAACTGTTGACCTTGAGGTTAACAGCCTAATGCCTAACTCACAGCACCACCAAGGCTGTGGGTGGTGTGTGTGTGTGTGTGTGTGTGTGTGTGTGTGTGTGTGTGTGTACAGATGTACAAACAGGTCAGATTTAAACATTAAAATAATTTAATACATGTTCCTTATGTAGCGATTGCACTATAAACTTTTTATTTCAAAAAAAAGAAGGGAGGGAGACATTTTCTTTAATTTGTATGGCAGTAAAGCTGAAGAAAACAATTAGGTCTTCTAACTTCTAGATTAGTATGACTTATTCTAACTCCTCCTCCCATTTTATTGAGGGTTAGTAGAAATTATACCATTTGACTAGAAAATTATAGGAGATCTGAAAAACCAGGGCAGACACTTTCCACTGTCCTGTAACTTACAAGAAGAAAGTTAGAGAGCATAGTTTAGGATCAATTTAGTAACGCTGAATTTCTAGCTTGTAATTTTTTTCTGAACTGTGATTGTAATTGAGTGGTTTGCTCATGAATTTAGTAAGCACTCTATTATCCAGGTATAATAATAGGCATATGCATCCTCGCTTCAGGATTTTCCTCTACTGCACATGCACACAGGAGCACCCAATTTCTTAGTTAAGGTTGGAGTAAGTGACACACAAATTGGATAAAAAACCAAAAGAGGTCTGCCTGGATAATAATATAATCCAGAATAGATTTTGATTCGTTTCAATTAGAAGAAAACCAAATGATTAATTAAATGAATGGGGAAATATGGCTTTCCAATATGCAGGGATTTGAGTTGGAAAATATAAATGCTCAAACCACTTAGTCAAGTAAAACCTTCGGGTGGTCTCTTTCCTAAATCTCAGAGGCATGTCTAATAGCATGGGCCAGAATCTACATTTCTTTTATAAAATGCCAACTCTCCTCAAACCTCAAAGACTTATTTTGGAAAGAGGGATACAGACCCTTATGCTAGCTACATTTAGCCTGCAGCAATGCTTCCATGCAGGATATTTGTCTGGAAATGAATTTACTACCGTTTGTAGGCATATCTGTGAGCCAACGCCAACAGTGACATCAGTCACAAAATACCAGAAAAGTGTCTGTAAAAATACATTTAAAAAGATACCTCTATCTTTTAATCAACCAAGTTGAAAAGGCCATTTGTACTATGCAGATATTTTATTTTTATGATCATAAATTAGAAACTTTTAGAAAGAGTATCTAAGTCTGGTTTAATTAAAGAACATAATCATATTATGGAATATCACACATGTCAATCTAGAAAAGCCAGAAAAGTAAAGAGGAAATAAATAGGTAAAGTCAATCATAATTGTACCTTGCACCTTGGATGGCATTCTTTTAAAATATTCTTCCATAATTTTAATGTATCTTTAATGACACATATATGGATATATTATTTAATACCAACTGTATCAAATGTACATTGTTTCTAATTTTCAGTATTGAAAAATGTGGTTAGAATACCAATTTTCTCACAGTATATTCAGAAGTTATTAACTTAAGGTAAAGATGCAGGTCAGAGATCTAGCACCTGCAACAGTTACAAAGAGGCTGTTATGTATCTCAACAGTAGTTCAGCATTGATATTCTGTGTTGTGAGTCTGGGGTTCAAATTACTGTCATATTTCTATGAAATACTGGTTAGAAGAAATGTTTATATGCTGGCAACATATTTTTAAGTTTTGTTAATAATCTTTCTAATCTGTGTAGGCATTTTTGTTATTGTATCAATATTTGGAATTTTTGTTATTTTATCAATATTTTACATTTTCATGTCAAAGACCGATAATTTTCTTTAAGGTTGTTTTTTTCATGTGGTTATTTACGATGTCTGCCTCAGCTCAATTTATATAAGTAGTTGACCTCTATGTTTAATAATACTTTTATGTCTTTCCAATTTTCATGTTAACATTTCATTCTGCCTGTTTCCTTATACGTGGGGATCATGCAGGAAGGCTGTTTTCCTTTGCCAACAGTTAGGTTTGCATTGCCATTACTGAACAGTGTTGGCTCTTTGTAGTAACACAAACCACTGTTTAAAATAGATTCCAAACATTTTAACTTAATAAATAGCAAGATCAATTCTATTGATGGTTAAAGCTATTTTCTGGCAAACGACTTACTAGACTTATATAAATTCCTCCCAAAATAATTATCTAGCAACATGAAAAAGTGAATGGACCTTCCCAGTTTGTGATCATCAGTGCTTAGACACCTGTTAGCTTGCTGAATGATATGGGGACAATAGTTTTTCCAAGCACATCTGGTGAACTTTGGATGCTTTGTGTGATTGTTTCTGAGATACAATGCAATGAATCTGACACATCGAAATGAAAATAGGTGCAAACAGCTCTATGTGCAAGGCTATCCACATGAGGTGCTTTAATGATTATCCTCGAACCCACATCATTACAAAACCCCAGATAGACAGACATGGATTTGTAAACATTTTGAGCAAAAACCAAAAATACCAAATTGTTGTCTGGGGTACCCGTTTCTGTTTCTTGTCGCTTTTTTAGCTTTTTTTTTTTTTTAATAAGATATTCGTTGAATTCGTATTTAACTGAGATATGGTCCAATCACTTTTTCTAACCACTTAACTAAAAATGAAGAGTAAAGAAATAAAAGGATGCAGTTGTTAGATCATTTAATAAGACATACAATTAGCAACCCCATTACCTTTACTCTTTGTCACAGTTACCCATACTTCCTGCCGATTTAGGCTGTGCAGTCTGTCTTTGTGGCCAAGGACAAGTGAAACATGGAGCTGATTGGTTGAAGGGCATAGAAGGGTATGGATGGAAAGGGGAAGAGAAGTTCCCGTCACAGTGACACGGTGATTAGAAGATGGCCAATAAAATGTCAACTTACCAGACCCAACTAAAACAAAACAAAAAAGAAAACATGGAATAAATAAAAAAGAAAATGAAGCAGAACACAAACCAAAACTGAAGTCATAAGACTCGACTTAACAATGATTTTAAAAAAAATAAAGAGCACATTCATATTTGGATATATGACTTATACTTTCCACAAATGAATATTTGTTAGCATTTTCTGTATTACCATGAACTATTGAAGAAAAAATAGAAATGAATCTTAAAATCTAACATGATTAAATGGCAGAGCTACAATGAATGATAGTGGTAAACATTTTTCAATGATTATATTTTGCTACGAGATGACAAAGTTAAATAAGTACATGCATGAGCTTAACAGGAAGGACTATGAATCCCAGGTGCTAATGCTACATGAGAAAGAAAAACCAAAGATCTTAATCACGGATCTATTCATTGTTGAAAGGTTTACCCTGGCAGCGGTATCCTACGAAATCAATGCTTCTTAAGTAGAATATGTATACAAATCACCAGTGATCTTGCTATAGTACAGATTCTGATTTCATTGGGTCAAGGGTAGGGCTTGGGATTTTGCACTGCTGAGAAGTACCCAGGGAATGACTACACAACTGGTCCATGAGTATCACTTAAGTAGCTAGTCTGTTGAAAGGTATCACATTTAAAGTTTTGCCTATTTTTAATTGAGGAGATAAACAAATCAAATGGATTAGTTGTGAAAAGTGGAGAAAACTTTATAATCCTAATTATAAATCATACTTACATTACCTTTTTCAATACTGAAGCACTGGATATTTTAATACAGAAAGAGCAAGTTATGCATATTTAAGATACTTGAAAATGAACTGTTTTGCTTCTTTATTACAGAAACAAAGGCAATTACTGTCAAATGCTGAACATTTGTATAATGGTCCAGTAGACACCTACAATATATTTTACTCAAATAAATAACTCCCATATATCTCAGCAAGTCAAAATTAATTACACATGCTGGACAATAAATGATGTTTAAATAAATGAAGGAAGCCGAGGGTTGCCACTGGGAAATGGTGTAGTTACAATGTAAAAACAAAGTTCTTTTGAATATTGTTACTGCTTCTGCATAATTTACAGGTAACTCACAAACTGTTTAAATTGCCTTCGAAGTGGCTAAAATAATTGTCTTTTTTCTTTCACTCTAAAGAAGACATCTTTAGCTTAAAATTTTCATTCATTTGGTTAGAAAAGCTCAAAATATAGATCGCTCTAATTTACCAGGTTTAATTTTTTTATAACATCAACAACGATTCTATTCTGTTTCTACCATGCAAAGAGAGAGGAGAAATTTTATTTTATTGACATGACAAATAAGGCATCTTTTAAATAACAGGGGAAAAAATTAGAAAGGACAAGAGAGATCATCTAACTTTAAGTGTAGTATAACAGGGTTAATGTAATTCTGCTTAAAAACAATCATAGAATTATCTTTTGAGGTGATCGATAAAAATAAAACGAATCTCATTACACTGAAGTACTTAAAACTGAGCCCCATTTAAGGTCACAAAAGAGTTACTTGCTGATGCAGAAAGTGACTTGGGGCTGCTATGTGAATGGTTGGGGTTTCAAGCCCACTCAGGAGGATCCAGGAAGAAAGTTCAGCAGTTCTAACTCCCCCAAACCGAGCATTCAAAGCTCTGCCGAGGATAGTTCTAACTAAAACATAAAGGGCTGCCCAGGGATTGTTCTGATGACAACTTTTTCATATAACAATATCAAAGTTATGATTCCCAAATATTTCTGGTCATGACTTTCTGTGAATTAAAATGAGCAACATTTCCAAAGTATCCAATATATTACACAAAAGAAATGACTGGAAAACAGCCTATCAAAGAAGTTCCCATGATTCTCGTTATTTATACATTTGTTAGTTGTTTTCCCAGGAAGTGACAAGAGTAGAAATTGTATATTACCTAAAATGTACTATATATAGAACATCAGGATTCTACACTGGACATCATATAAATTGGCAAGCCTAATTCAAGGACAGCTTATAGTCTATTAAGGACTATACAGTTATCAAGGGACATTATCTGACACAGATGCTCCTAAAACATCAGAGGTTTCTGGGAGACTCCTATCTTGAATGATCATTCAAGCTTTTAACAAGCGTGCTTATCAGTAACTGATTCTTCTTATCTGAATGAAGCCCTGTCTGTCACAATTTAACCCCACTGTTATTTGTTTTAGGGTCAGTAAACATATCTATGCCAACATGATGGTCCACTTAAAATCCTTTTCCTCTGTGGAAGGAAACAATCACCAGTACTTTCTCATCAAGAAGAAATGCTAATAAATTCTTTCGGTCTCTCTCATCCTCAGTTTTCCACATTTCTCTGAAGGGCGGGTCAAATGGCTTTCTTTCCATACATAAAACATGGGACCAGGTAGTGCCTGGATTACCCCATGACACATACCCAGAAAGAAAGAGCGGAGAGCTAAGTGACATGAGCCTGTTCATTCATTCATTCATTCATTCACGACCATCTAAAGCTCCTGGGTGTGGGAGGTTCTCTCTGTCTTCCCCATCTTGCTTCACAACTTGCTCCTTTTCACTCTCAAAGCTCAGAGCAAGTCCATCCAAATTCTTGTCTGCCTCTTCTCTCATAAAGCCATAAAGCCATAAAATGCTAGAGCTGGAAGTGACCTTAACATTTATCAGTCTAACCCCTCCTTTGGACAGCAGCAACCCCAGATTGTTAAGCAAACGTCTCAAGGGCACAGATGGCTGACCAAGGCCTAGTGTCCAAGTCTCTTGACTAAATACAGGGCACTGTACAAAGTTTCCTACTGCTTGATCAGTTTGGAGAGAAAGATAAGCAATAAGCACCAAAAATATTTTATTTGACCTATAACTTAACAAATTATTTAGCCCAGGCAGATACAAATTTCTTTTAAAGAATTCTTCGTGATAATAAGACAATGTTGTAAGAATATTTAGCAATGTGCTTAAAAAACCAAATAAGGGAAGCCAACCAACCAACCGAGAAAACCTCCTATTTCTTCTATAAAGAAGAAAGCATTACAAACCCTTGTCATATTCAAAGGAGAGCAGTCAGAAAGATGGTGAATGTTTTGGAGTGAAAAAAAATTATAGGGAAACGCGAGGTAAACACCCCGCCTGCCCCCGCCCCACTACCCCTCCCAGAAAAGTCTGAAGAAAATGAGCTAGCTGAACAGATACTTAAAAACAGTCCTTAGATTAGGGTCTAATAAATACAGGGCCCGGCCAGTCTTGATAACTACTTAGGCTAGACGAAAAGGAGATAATGGGCCTAAATAATAGCTCAAAAGACTTGGAGAACATATAGTGAAGAAGCAGTTAACAGTAAAGGTCACTGAACTGTGAATTGGTTACCCACTGTGATGTCTCCAGAGGTCTTTAAAAGTGGGATTTATTTCCATTTGGCCACAACAGTTTACATATCAGCCTGTCTGGTAAAGGGATAGAGTTGTTGAGTTTTAAAGTGCTTTCTGCAGTATGATTTTAAAAGAGGGAAACGCAGATGCAAAGTAGGATAAGGGTTATATCCCTAGACCCAACCCCACCCCAATTTTCCCTTCAGATTTGAATAGAAATGTATGCTAATTTCAGTAGACACCAGTACATTTCAAGTGGGAAAAAAAGCATACATTTTCATAATATTATGGTTTAGATTTTGGTACTTAGATATTACGACTTGACTTTTTGTTACATAGAGGCAAATTCCATCTTGCCATTACAAGTTAAAGAAAACAGCAGCTTGATTCTTCAGTCTGAACAAAAGGCCACATAAGTACTTTGTCATGGCAGAAGACTGCCACAGTATTTAGATAAAAAATAATGCAAGCATTCGTGTAGAAGCTTAGCAGTCTTAGAAGAAGGAAGCGTGGTGGTGCTGTGGTTAAGTGCTCGCTCAAGTGCTGACAGAAAGGTCTGTGTTTGGAATGTACCAGGCTAAGCCTGGGAAAAGGACATGCCAGGCATAAGGCTTCCACGAGCCTCTGCTCTCAGCATTGGAAGCCTTATGCGGCAGGGTTCTCGGTCCTATAGCGTCCCTACGAATTGGAATCAATTCTATGGCAACGAGTGTGTTCATTTGTTTTTGGTTAGGCCAAATGTTATTAGTAAATATCAGAGAAGAGGAAATTTCATGAGCGGGTTACAAATTCAGCCACCTTGACTATATAACCCATTGATCTTAGTATTTATGTCGGTAGCGAAATGATAATGAACCCTTAGATTGATGTGATTTTCTTTTTTTGTGAACAACACAGGTCTCAATTAACAGGACTGACAATAGAGTTGTTGATACTGTATTCCATAAAAATAAGAATATGAAGCGAGTGGTAATATATGGGGAAAAAAACCCACTTTTCTTGGTAAAGAAGAACACTCAAAAATCTACGTGGTGAAGCTATCTGCATATTACCTGACAAGCCCAGTCATTAGTATGCTGAAGCTGAACATGATATCACTACCAATTAACAACACTTAAGATTTTAACACTAGGCATCACTTTTCTTTTGGGGAAAAGATTTATCTTAAAAGGCTGTCATTATGTCTTTCAACTCTGCAGACATAGAGTTGAAAGGGAGCATCTTAGAATATATTTAGTGGGTATATAAAATACTATGACCTTTCCCCTCCATTCAAATCCCTCACCTAATCCTGTGGGTCAGTGGTTCTGGGGGCAGTTTGCGCTGCCATAGCCAAGGGTGCAGTGTGTGTGTGGTGGGGAGAAGCCGGGCACTGGTGCACTCTGTGTAGTGCGCAGACTAGGACTCAGAATGAAGCAGATTCAAGTCCAAACGTCTTTAGTGCCAAGGTTTAAATACTCTGTTGTGGAAAATTAGTTCAATTTCAAGCATAACACAATAGTAAAGCTATTTATTTCATACCTTCAATATGCACAAAACCCCGGGGACAATGCCTTCCGTATTGTAGTAGCTGCTCAGGAAAAGGTTCTTCCTTCCCCTTTTAGAAATCTCCACCTTTCTCACAAAATC